TGCATTTGCCATGGATAAATTTGTTCTTGATCCAATATGTGAGGAAACTCACCCTTACGTGTAGGACCATTTGTAATGACCTTTTTTGTAGTAGATTAATTAATTGTGGTAACCTCATAAGGACCCGATAGGAAATCTAATGTATTTAAGATTTATGAAAATTTTCATGTATATCTAAAATTTTCTCTTTTGAGCGTTGTGGTGCTATAATGGTGGCACTATAGTGGTGCCTTCTTTGTATGTTAGAAATCTCTTGATGACACTAGGGCGGCAATACCCCATTTTGAAGTTATAAAAATCTCCCTTAGGGAGTGCTATGGTGCTAGGAAAAGTAGCACTGTGGAGCTACTTTAAGATTTTGAAAAATATCTAAATCCACTAAGAGAATCCATTTAAAAATCACAACCCATTTCATTTTCTCATTTTTTGGCTAGATTCGAGGAAGAAGAGAAGAGAAAGAGGAGAGAGAAGAGGGATTTAAGATTTTTTGGGCTATTTATATCCATCGAGCAAGTTAAAAATAATTATTCATCTCTAGGTAAGGTACCATTACCCTACCTCTATTTTTGTTGGTTTTGAATTCTATAGGATTTATAAGATTAAAAAAAAAAGATTTATAAGTTTTAATTTGATCAAAAGTTATGTCACCTCAATTTCTAGCAAATTTTTACTATGTAACTTTTAATATATCATTGATCTGCTCATTCCACATTAATTGATATAATCATATTAGATTACTACTAAATATTTCTATTATTTAAGGCATATTTCCCTAAATATGTCTAAGATAAATATTTTTAAAAAATAATTGATTATTACATTCGAGTTGGATAGAATGACTAACATGTATACTTGACATGCATATTCTATATGGTCTAATTATTATAGCATGTATACTTGTTATGATTTATCTATTGGAATCACCTAATGATGTGAAAATGAGTATATGACATTATCTTTTCAACATCTTCATATTTCCTAACATGAACAATAAATTGATATTAATGAAATGAATCTTGAATAAGATGTTAATTGTTATCATGATGTATGAATGTTCGTATGTATGTATATATGTATGTATGTATGTATGAATGAATGAATGTTAATTGTTATCATGATGTGTGTATATATATATATTGCAATGTATGCAAGAAATAATGGTTACCATATGATTCAAGTTTGTAGAGATATGATAACCTGCACAGGAGGTTTTTTTTTTAATGGGGTTAATGATGTGAACCTGATACATGACATGATGGAAGGTATAATAGAACATTAAACATTATATAATCTATATATAAGTAATGACATCATAGCATACCTTATGACTTGAGTTGAGCGTAATGACAACACATGATATAATTGCATTGGTATCAATGATGGTTAATCCTATTCATATGTCATGATTGTTATAATTCAACATATAATGTACTATTATTCATGATGATTATTCCTAGAAATATGATATGATACATGTTGTAAATAGAGAATACCATATAACATGATACATGTGATGATGTATTATGAATCATAATAATATAATTTGGCAATTTTGACATATAATACTAAGTACATTGACATATTAATATTCATGAGTATATGATATGAAAAACTATACTAGTTAGAACATTTAACTTGTCATTTTTATGATATAAATTTTATCATGCATAATATCCATTATTGAATGGACTATGATACAACATAATGCTCTACAAGATATACATTATAGTGAAATTTTAATCATGCTACCATTGTATATAATAATTCATAATTTGTCTTGATTGCATTGTGTGTGATACATATACATGAGTAACATTAAAGATTTATCTATTTAGTTCATGTTTAGTATTCATGATTCAATGATTTATGACATGCATATTATTCTATTTTTGTTAATTGAATATAGTCATAAGTTTCATATAATCTACTCAATTGTTTGTTTACTTTATGTGTTTATATGTTTCAAGAAAGGGTAAGACCCAAGTAGAGTGAGATCAGGGTTACAATTAAAGGTACCCTTATTTTATATTATAGATGACTTTATTTGTAATCATGGAAAAATTATATTTTTATGATTTTCTTTAAAAAGAACTATGATTATTGTATAAAACATTTTTATTTGAATAGATATGGGATTTGTAAATGTTTGTACATTGAATGATGTTTTTGTTTTATTCTTATATGTTGATTATTTAGTGATTGTTCTTTAAATTTGATGATAAAAATATTTCTCTCCAAAAACAAAAAATCACAGGTAAATGCTCTGTCACACATCCAACCTAATATGACCATGATGTAAGGGTTATGTTGGGTTTGTCTATAAAACCATTAGCCCCAACATGTGGGGCCCTTAAGCCATGGGGTAACTTGCTCTAACATGGAGGATCACTTGTATTAGTAATAGGAGAGATTTACCTACATCTATCCAAGCTTATGACTTTATCAACCAATTAACATTCCCCTTTAGGTTTTGCAGCCTTATCTATCTAGTAGGCTATTTTCCCTAATCACTTGCTCAGGGAGCTATCTATGTTCCTTCATGATGAATATTCTAACAGATTTTTTCACGTATGTTTACTAGAACTTTATCCATGTATCTATAATTGTTTTATCATGTATTATATATATTTATTTATTATGAAATCTCTTTTAGTGCAAAAAACTCTTTAAATACATGATCAAATCGTCAATTTTTACAAACAATGATTTTGAACATTTTGGGTTGGTAGTGTTACTTCAAAGCTTCTCTCTATTTATTCTTCTATTAGAATCTCGTCACTACTATAAGTAGTGTTTGATGTTGTCCATGGACATATATAGATTCAATAAGAAGTACTTTTATGTCTGAGTACATTTACATCATGTATTATGATCATCTCAAGCTCTTTATCATAAGTAAAGGCTGGTGGCACTTTTATCAGTACATTCACTACATTAATAGCATGTAATGAAATTAAAATATAAAAATAACAGATTTAATGAAGTATTTAGTTTTACACACTATTTTGAAAACCGGACAGGACTAGTCGATTCAACCGCTTCAACCATGAACCGGTCTGGTGGCCGGTCCAATCAAGCTTCAGAATCGGCTATGCATCGAACCGGATCAAACCGAATTGAACCGGCGGTTCAACCGGTGAATCATTGAACCGGTCCAGTTTGGAAAGAACCGGTCCAGGTTGGAAAGAACCGACTGGTTTATAAAAATATTTTATTTTTGTTTTAATTAAAATTTTAAAAATATATTTTAGATTATTAAATTTTTTTTAAACTTTTTAAAATATTTTTATTAAATATGATGATTGATTTCATCATAATACATACAAATTACCTTTATTAATGATCATAAATTTTTTAAATTATATTAAGTATTATTCTTATAAGTATATTATTCTTAAATGACATTTATATGTATAAAATTTTATTATATATTTTAAAATTTTATAAATATTACTAAATGCTCATATACTTATATTATATGAATTTTATTTTATTAAATTTTAATAATATTATTATTTATTACGTCATCCGGTTCGACCCCGGTTCAACCGGTCAAACCGTGAACCTCTACAGCTTCTTGATCGTTGTCCGGTCCGATTTTCACAATCTTGGTTTTACATATAATTTTTTTTTCATAAATTATTTATCATTAAATATTTTAAAACATGACAATGTTATTTATGAAGTTTTGGAATGGTACTATGAAATTATTTCAAATGATACGTTTAAATACTTATCATCATCCAAATTTTAATGAAGCTGCCTCTATTATTATATATAATTCAAGCTCTAATAAATTTGACTATTAATTTAACTCTTAAATTAAAAATCAAGTTATTAATTACAACGTTATTCTACTATAAACATGTAATTGTACTCTTAAATTTATATTACAATTTATTCTATTAAAAATATTAAATCTTCTATTAATTTAATCATTACATATAAAATAATCGTCCATAAAAAAATCATAATTAGAGTTATATAATTCAGTTATCCATCTAACTAGATATTTACCTTGAATTCCAATTAATTTTCTAATGAACAATAAATTTTGAGACTTTCTCATAAAAATTTAGAGCTTTATTGTTCATATTTTGATTAATTACTTAAAGAAATATGGTTTTCAAAATTAAAAGGAATGAATTTCATGTATGTATAATAACATTATCAATGATTTGCTTCATTATATTTCTTAGATATTAGGATTAAATAGAAGCCATTTTAATTATACAATATCTTATAAATTGAGAGAAAGAAAAAAGTACATTAGAAGTCATTTTAATTATAAAATATCATATAATTTTTATTACCAATTTCATTTAAAAATAATCTCGTACCATTTATTTTCTTTTTGAAGATTTGCATACATATCATTTACATATATAATTTAAGTTTTTTTTTATTTATATAAATTTTTTAGGGCACCAAAACAGATGGAAGGGTCGAGTTCGGGCTCGAGCTAAAGTTGATCTAACCCGATTTCAATAAACTCAAATATGACCCATTTAATAAACCAGTCAAAAGCACCAATCCGAACCTGATGCGCTAGTAACCCAAATGACCCAAACCTGAATTATAAATCCATTTTGGTTAAAATTTTTTTAGAACTTATTAACTATAAAATTTAAAATATTTGATAAAAAATAAGAAGATTATACCTACAAATAAAAACAATTAAGGAAATAAGATATTAAAAAATGAGTTCGCTAATTAACCAAATGAAAACTCAACTCCAATATGTCCAATTTATTAATGGATCAATTCAGTCCTGAATATTTTTATTCTAGTTGATAGATCATACACAACTCATCTTGATGTGTTGGTGCATATGTGATATTTGTATGAATTTGATTTAATTGATCTAAATATTTTAAAATAATAATAATAATAACATTTATTGACACCCTATTATTTTTTTATTATTTTTTATTGGACAAATGCCCTTATCCAGCGGGGCACAATGTGCTAAGACTGGGGAATCGTCGAGCCTGCCTAGCATTCTTTCGACTGTAATGATGAACTAAAGAAGTTCATATAAGAGAAGTCATCTATTTTAACAGTATTGAACAAGAGCAAGGGATCGTCGAAGGAGAGTGGTCGCCGGAGCTATGATGGATTCTTCTTCTTCTTCTTCTGCCGGAACTGCTGGGTTAACTACCGACGATGATCGCTCCTATAACTCCGGCGGTATTCCCTTCATCTCCTCATGGATCGCCTCGGTTTCGCAACGTTATCAGTACTACCTCGACAAGGCGACACCGTTTGTGCTCCGGCGATGGATTTGTTTTGGCGTGGTGGCGCTTATCTACCTCATCCGCGTCATTGTCCTTGAGGGATTCTACATTGTTTCGTATGGTCTTGGCATCTACGTGCTCAATCTATTCATTGCCTTCCTCTCGCCCCAGGTTGATCCCGAGATGCAGCAGCTCTTAGATAGCGATGGGCCTTCGCTGCCGACTCGAGCTTCTGACGAGTTCCGTCCCTTCGTTCGTCGGCTCCCGGAGTTCAAGTTCTGGTGCGAGGTTCTGTCTTTTGTGTTATCAGACCACTTTTTCTTATTTATTTATAGTATGCATGAACTGGCTGCTTGATCCTATGTGAAGTAGTCTTTTTTTGGGGGGATCTGCTTATTTTCTTGTTTGGCTACAGGGGTGATGTTTGATTTCGCCTGGTTGATTTGTTCTGTTTCTGGTTAGGCAAGGGGTGGGAATTTGATGTCTTTGTTAATGTGTTCTTCGACAGAAGTTTATAATTGTTATTTGATTCTTACAACTATATAAGGAACTAAATATCCTTTGCGTAGTATTTTATTGGGTATACGGCTAGAAATCCAATCTCCTTCAGCCCGTATTTTAATGTTACTTCGCAAATTTGTTCGGTATCCTATTGTCCATTTGTGTAGGTATCAAGGAGGGGGTTTAGGGAGTGGAATATTGACTCTGATGTTCGCAGACTGCATGTAGAGATCTGCTTCATGAGGATTTACTCGGGCAAATAGAGATCTGAGGGTTAGCTAACTTTTCCAAAGGTTGGCTGAAAAGGAGGTTTCTTCACAGGTTTACATGGGTTGCAAACAAGGGAAAAAATGGGTGAGAAAATTCCTGAATGTCTTGGAAACAGTTCAGTCTTTGGCTGCGTATTTCTGTGCATATGCTGCTACTAGTTGGTTAATGCTTTTAACCGTTGGCTGCCTGAACGTACCTTTGGCTAAAATATAGAGCAAAGAGTAAAATCAAATCTTCAATGCCTAAATTTTGCTGATTACACACCATTAGATCATGAAGGCAGTAAATGTTACTGTGTTAATGTAAATTAGAGTTAAGTGGATCAATTCTCTACAATTTAATTCGATGAAGCGTTTGCAATATTTTTTTTCTTCTAGATTGCTTTGAGTATAAGAACTAATTTTAGGATTAATGCTTAAGTTATGAAACAGATTTTTGTTCAATCATGCTTGACCTAGACTCGTTCTATTACTTTAGCACAACATGCATCACAATTGTACCAACCAAATTTTGACTTGGATGGAATGTCAATGCTTTAGTTTCTTGAGGTACTAAACGATGGGATTCGTCGTTTTACTTCAATCAACATATAAGATAAAAAATTAATTTACTTTAATTTTTCTTCGTTAATAAAGATACTTGGTTAGCACACTCTTATAAAAAAGCTTTATATGATGGTTGCAATGAACATGAAGAAATCCATTTTATACTAAGAAAATATATTTGGAGTAGAATGCTCTATAAAGTTATTTTGCATTGTTCTTGTAAAATAATTTATTCAGTTCTTGTTAAGGAGTTATTTTTGGAGCAGAATGCTCTATAAAGGTCATTTCTCTAATGGAAGATAAGATTAGAGAGAGTCTTCTTAGATTGGCTGTCACATAAAATGGCGGTCTTCCGATGACCCGGTTAGGAAAGTAGATATATTAGATTTGACTTATGTTAAGAAGGGTAGAGGTAGACCTAAAAAGACTTGGTTAGAAAATATTAGAAATGACATTTCTTTATTAGATTTTAATGAGAATTTAACTTTTAACAGGGCACAATCAAGAAAAAGGATTCATTTATCCGACCCCACATAATGGGATAGAGGCTTGTTGTTGTTGTTGTTGTGGAGTTATTTTTATTATGGCATGTATTTGAAGAATATAAACATCATAATCTTCCATTATTCAACAAGTTTTGAAAACTTGAACCATTAGATGAATAATAGTAGGTTTTTATACTCCAAACACAAGTTATCATACGAGGCTAATGTGGTGGCTGGCAGCATAGCTGCCCAGGGGGGCAACAAACCAAAGTCCCAGGCGGGGCCTAGGACCTTCTTTATCATCTATAGGAGAAGAGGCTTTAGGTGGAACTTTTTGGAAAAGATGTAAGAGGCATTTATTAGGGGATTTGGGCTGTTTAAGGGAGGAGATTGTGGAGGGTTAGGGTTTATGTTATGTTTTGATTTTCTACAACAGTTTGTGTGGGGTATTGGGTTCCTAGTGATTGCTAGGAATTGTGAGAGAGACGATTCACCTCTCGAACAGTAAATCAACTTATATCTTGTCTTACTTTGTTTGGAGATTATTAAATTAATCTCTCTCTTGGTATTATTTCTGGATCTATTTGAAGTAAGTTTCTATGTTTAATATTGTTTTTGCTGTTTGAAACATCAATTCCTATCAAATTTGTATCAAAGCAAATTTTTGTGACAAATGGCCATGATAAGAGTTGAGGTGTTGGAAGAAAGGTTAGAGGGGGAAGTAGGGCAACTGTGAACGGATGTGCGATCGTTGAATGAGTGTTTTTTAGCAATGGATGGAAGGAAGGTTTAGGAATCTAGAGGAGATGATGAAGTGGATGTTTGAGTTTCAAACTAAAGTGGCTCCGCCATAAGCAAAAGGGAATTAAGAAAATGGCATGCTGAAGGAAGACGGAGAGGTGAAAATTTTAGGAGAGGAGGAGAGAATATCCTACCTTAAGCCTCTACTGAGAAGGGGGCTGGATAGGGAATATGGAGGTAGGAGGGAATGAGAAGAGGAAAACAAGCAGGCTGAAATTGAAGAGAGAGTGGGATATGAAAGGAGAAAGGAGGCGAGGGAACCATGGAATGACCCCAATGTTAGCTTCATGGGAGGCATGGGGGGAAGAAGGTGAAATTGAGGTAGGGGAGATCTAAAGGTTAGGAAGCTAAAATTGTCGGTTTTTTAAAGCGAGGATGCGCATGGGTGGCTCTATAAAGTAGAGATATATTTTGTGGTGAATGGGTTGACGGAAGGGGAAAGACTTATGGCGACTACTCTGTCTCGAGGGGAAGACACCGGTATGATACCAATGTAGGGAGATGAGTTACCCGATCCATTTTTTATAAAAGTTTAAGGACCATTTATTGGAGTGCTTTTGAACCTAGTAGGAAGGAGACTATTATGAGCAATTATTACCGCATGATGACCACCTTACTTGCACCTAGGGTGCCAACTGTATCGAATCAAAGAGAAGCTCTAAAGGAGAAAGGATTAGGAGCTCAGCCGAGAGGAAACTTTAAACAACTGACTTAAACGAAGCTACGGGACAAACAGGTTAAGGGGTTATGTTTTAGGCGCGACAAGAAGTTTATACCATGTCATAGGTGTAAAAATCGCACATTGCAGGTCCTTTTTGTTTGTGATGAGGAGAAGATTGGCGAATTGAGATGCCTCGAATCACACTATGAAGATGAGGGGGCATATAGGTGGGGAAGCGGTGGCGATTTTGGTGAATAGCTGGGCTACCAACAATTTCATATCTAATCAGGTGGTTGACAAGTTGGGACTAAAGCTAGTTGACTCGAGATGCTTTGGGGTAATAACGGGCACAGGAAGGGTGGTGAAGAGTAGGGGTATCTGTCAGGAATTGCTAGTGGAATTGTAGGGGATTCACATCAGGGAGGATTTTCTTCCATTGGAGTTAGGAAATACGGATTTGATCTTGGATATGAAGTGGCTACAAAATTTGGGGGAGACCAAGGTAGATTTGAAGGCTCGAGCTATGGAGATTTAGGTGGAGAGGAGGATGGTAGTGATTAAGGGAGATCCTAGCTTATCCAAAGCAATAGTTTTCTTGAAAATCATGTTACGTGCCATACATGGTGAAGGAGTGAGATTCTTGATGGAGCTCCAAAGCTTGGAGGGAGGAGACTCCTAGGAGATAAAGGACATTTCATAAGTAGTTCAACTGCTTCTTCAAAAGTTCAGTAAGGTAATCCAACCTCCCCAAGGATTGCCTCCTCTACGGTGGCACGAGCACGCTATTGTTCTGAATGAAGGAGTCTTTCCAATTAGTGTCCGACAATATGGCTACCCACAAGTCCATAAGCATGAGATTGAGAGGTTGATTCAGGAGATGTTTGGTGCCAAGATTATCAAGCCCAGTTTGAGCCCTTTTTTTAGTCTCGTGTTACTGGTGAAGAAGAATGATGATGGTTGGAAATTCTGTGTAGATTATCGTGCCTTGAACAAGGAGACTACATTGGACAAGTTTCCCATACCAGTCATTGATGAGCTGCTAAACGAGTTGCATGGCTCGGTGGTGTTCTCAAAGATCAATTTGAAGATAAATTTGAAGTTCGGTTATCACCAGATCAGAATGTGACTAGAGGACACCCATAAGATGATTTTCAGAACTCATGAGGGACACTATGAGTTCTTAGTGATGCCTTTTGGCCTCATTAATGCCCCTGGCACTTTTGAATTACTCATGAATAGGGTGTTGAAGCCTTATCTTCGGAGATTTGCTATGATATTCTTTGATGACATTTTTATCTATAGCAAGTCAGAGGAGGAGCACTTTGGGGATGGTATGGGAGAACTTTGAAGGAGCATCAACTATATGTCAACTTAAATAAGTGCTCTTTTGTGCAGCAGAGGGGGGAGTACTTAGGACATATGGTGTCTCAAGCCGGGTTGACAGTGAATCTAACCAAGATAGAGGCAATGGTGGAGTAGCCAATTCCTACAACCCAGAAGGGGCTAAGAGGGTTCTTGGGATTCACAGGATATTACATGAAGTTGGTGAAGGGATACAGCTCAAAAGTCTGGCAATTGACAAAACAACTGAAGAATGACAATTTCAAATAGGGGGAGGTAGCCATTCAGGCATTTAAGTAGCTGAAGGAAGCCATTACTAGTGTCCCTATGTTAACACTACCATATTTAAGCTAGCCATTTATAGTGGAGATTGATGCATCAAACTATGAGTTGGGAGAAGTTCTCATGCAAGGGCAAAGACTCATAGCTTATTTCATCCAAGTGTTGACTACTAAGGCCAGATTGAAATCAGTATATGAATTAGAAGTGACAACCTTGTCTATTGAGGCGGCACTTCATAGTCATGACTGATCAGAGGAGTTTGAAGTTCCTGTTGGAGCAGAGGATGGTGACATAGGTGCATCAGCGGTGGCTTTCCAAGTTATTTGGATATGACTTGGAATCCAATGCAAGCCCGGGTTGGAAAATAAAGCTACAGATGCTCTCTCTAGGCATAG